TGAGTTTATGGTTCTCTTGGTTAGCTCTGGTGTATTGTATGAAATGGGAGGAAGCCTCTATTTATAGGCCATGAGAAGCATTGGGGCAGATTTAAAGTTTTGGCCTTTGGAGGGAGATTTTGGAAGAAAATCTATCCAAGATTGTATGGCAGCTGAGCATATCAGTTCCTTGGCTCAATGTAGGGCAAACTCAAGTGAAATGAAGGACATGAGGTGGCTGAAGGGAGGTTAGAGGGTAGGGAGCTGCAGCTTCCAGATTTCTCATCATAAAGTTTCTCTTTCTTGTTTGTTTTTGAATAAAATATTGTCAACTTGCTTGCCACCTTGCGAAGCTCTCAAGCTCTCATTCTTTCTGCATTTTCTAACCATCATCGTCTCTAAATATCAGATTAAGACATGGTCCAATGGTTGAGAATGATCCAAGTGGATGAAAAGTGAATTTGTGAAAAAGTGGAAATGGTGCACTCAAGTGTGGAGACCCTAACTTTCTGGATTCATAACTCTCAACTCATAAGGGCTATGAAGGAGTTCTAGTACTTTTTGGAAAGTCCTCATGGAGATTTACAACTTTTATGTTTACATGATCTTCAGATTACAAGTGGAACTAGGTCAAAAAGCCCTTCAAAGTTGGTTGAAAACATGATTTGCAAGGCCAGAAAACTTAAAAAAAATTTTAAGTGTTTTCCCCTCTTGTAATGATTTTGATCATAACTCCCAATGTACTCATTTTTTGCACATGGACCCTTGTGAGACTTTTGTAGGAATTGTCAATACTTTTCCAACAAGCTTTGAACCACCTCAATTGGATGTGTGGTTAGGAGATTATGGTCTTGCCTCTTTCAAAACCCTAATTCCCGACTTTTCCGATTACTCCACAAATGTTGATCCAATGGTCATGAAAATTCATGGATAAGTTCAATATGCCATTAGGAACATTTTTTATTCACACTTTGAGGTCAAATTCCTTATGGTCAAGGAGTTAGCCTTTTGGTCAACGAAACGGTCGATCGATGACTACCGAGTCGATTGTTGATGTTCTGGGTCTTCTGAGGCCTTGAAGCTTCTTGAGTGGACTTCAATAAGCCATATGAGCCTCATGGATCATAATTCCATCATTGGAACACCTTTTAAATCAAAGGTCAAACTACAATTAACTTTTCCTGATTAGAAACCCTAATCGGGAATCCTGAACTGCATTGTCTTTAATCTTTGGGTGACAACCTCAAATTGGATTCATACTTGACCCAACGGAGTATCTTTGATGATGTGTAGCTTTGTTTCTTGGAGAAACAATCCAACACATTGACTGATTAAACCGTCCAAACCTCAATTTTTACTGTACGAAACCCTAATTCACCCTTTTTGCCTAGGCAATGTGCAGATGAATTGAGTGACTATTCCTACTCCACAATGACCTCTGAGGTACTCAACAAGCCTCTACCAATGATAAATCTTCATGGACCCCTTGACAACCCTCTGATGGTTCCTTGATAATGTTGCGGCACACCTCTCCTTTCTAGGAGCTTTGATATCTCCATAATGATAACACACACATAACAACCTCTACTAATGCCTCTGCTTGAGCTTGTGGTCAATAAGACTCTCTTCTTGGATAGGACAAAAACAAACACTTGATCCCCTGTAAGAAATATGCTATGCAAATGCAAGATGCTAAAATACAATGAAACATAAGCCAAAGATTAAGAAAAGAGGGTTGGTCAAATTTTGGGGTACAACAAATACCATATGATTATAAAATAAGAAAAACCTAAACACTACCAAATGATTCTGGACGTTTCAACATCTCTATTATGTCGTCAATAGATCTTAAAAGTTTAGCATCTAACTCGATTGACCCCTTTGTTATCCTAGGGCGAAACGATCTCCACATTTCCTTCACATCTTCATCGGTCTTCAACTCAATAAAGTTGTATTTCACTCTCCTGTCAGTATCAATCCAATCTTCATGAAACCCGATTTTTCTCACCTTTTTATTTTCGGCATCACGCAATAATTCACTCAACTTCTATGTTAGACTAACAAGAGATGCAGTGCCATCCAGAGACCGGAACTCTATAGGAGGAGAAGTTCCGCTAAAGTACACTCCGCCTTAATAAAAAATTAAGGAAGATGCATTTTTTGATATGTGTTTATCAAACAACATGTGACATCTTATTTATACAACTTTGCATTTACTCTAGACCACACAAAATTGTCAGTGCAATCACAACCATCCAAAATTATCGGCAAAATCCAGAACATTCAAAAAATCAAACAAATAACACTACCTAAAATTTCATTTAGGTTGAAATTTCTGATATCAACATGTCAATTTCAAATTTTCAGAACCTACTGAAACTTATCGGAAATTCTGAAATTTCCGATTTATCAAAAATTTTGATTTGTATTGAAAATTTCAATAACACTATCAGAAATTTAGTCTAGTTTTCATCCAGTGACAGTTTTGGGAATATGAAAGTATTGGGGGGGGGGGGGGGGGGGGTTAGGTATAATTTAGGGGTGGCAAGTTAAAATCTCCAACATACCAATGATGAAGTGTGCCCTGCCAAAAACTTGTCCAAAGGAAATTCAAAAGGTGCAAAAAAACTTTCTTTGGGGTGACACTGAGGATGTGAAGCCTAAAAAATGGGAGGTCTAGGCATTAGGAAGCTTGATAATATGAACAAGGCAAGTTTACTCAAGTTAGGATGGAAAATTAAAAGTTGGGAGAATTCGTTGTGGTGCAAAGTGATGAAAGGGAAGTATGATAGAAATAACAATATGATCAATGAAGTGGAACTAAGGTTTTTGTCTCAAGTTTGTGGAAGAGACTAGTTAGTATATGACCCACTTTGAATGACATGACCTATTAAACAATTGGAATGGTGAAGTGGTAAATGCTTGAGCTGATTGTTGGGTGGTAAATTTTGAGATGATTGTTAGCTACACCAAAGATAAACTTTGATATGGTGGATAACAATGTTGATTGGAACCTTGAGTGGTTGAGCATTGTGTTGCCTCATCTTGGATAGCATAAAGGTTATTCATCCTCTTAATGTTGATCATGGAAGAGATGTTTGCATGCGGAGTGACACAAGAAGTGGAAAATTTACTATCTCTAATGCTTTTAAGAAGCTAAGTAATTTAAATGACAACACAAGCACTAACATTTGGAACATAATTTAGAGGCTTGAGGAAATGGAAAAATATAATATGGAGGTTTGATTAGTGATAACAATGGAGCATAGATGTGGTTTCTCAAAACACATAGGCATTTGCAAAGCAAGGGTGCAGAACTTTGGGAAATCTTGTAAGGCTTGAAATAGGTGATTGACAAAGGGAATAAGAAAGAGAATATTCATATTGATAGCAAAGAAGTGTACACAAGACTCACTATATCATTGATCAAAATAGGAACTGGTTAATGACTGTTGACAAGAATTAATCTTTACTTGATTGTGACTGAAAGGCATGTTTCAGTCATATATACCAAGAATCGAATAAGTGTGCAGATGCGCTGACAAAATTGAGATTGAAGCATGTGTCAGATCTTCATCTGTATAATGTTTGTCCTTCAGATATGAACTCGACTTTTTTTCCTTCAGATTTTATAGGAATTACTCATCCTCGTGTAACTAATTTTTAGTTTTTGTTATTTCCTTGGGCGATTTACTCTCTTGTATATAAAAAAAGAGCAATTAATTTTTTTTTATCTCCAATAGTTGATCACTTGACTGTGTCATATATGTTTTTTCCTTAACATCCTTTTTGGTTGTTGAATTCGTGAAGTGTTATCCGTCTATTTCTCAAAATTATTATTTTTAGGGTGGTGTTCACTACACCCCACTTAGTTATCACACACTCTATAGAAACTTGAAAATTCCATTTGTAACACCCAGAGATTGAAATTTAGACGCACATTTTATACAGCAAATGACTTTATCATAGAGACACCCACAGTTTTGCTAAAAACAAAATATCCGGTTTTCAATCTCCATACACCTTTTGGAGATTAAAATTTGGATATACCAAGTGGAAAAACAAATTTAGCATAACCTTAAATGAATGAGTGTCTTTATGATCATAACACCAATATTGAAAAACTCTACCAAAATCTCATTTCATTTGCATTTAAGATTTTTACTTGCAAACAATATTCTATTGTATTTTGATATCAAAAGACACAATAGAAGCTAAAGTTAAAGGTAATGTACATGCATTTTATTGATCATTAATAAAAACATCCAAAGATGTTAAAACATCTTCAACCATTTGCTGATCATTAATAAAAACATCCAAAGATGTTAAAACATCTTCAACCATTTGCTGATCATTAATAAAAACATCCAAAGATGTTAAAACATCTTCAACCATTTGCTGATAAGAAAATATCATGTTAGATTTAAGTTAACAAATATCCATGTTATATATTTTATGTATGTGACAACAAAAATTCATGTTATGATATTCTTCATTCTCTGTCTGTCTGAAATTGTTTCTAGTTTTATGATAACATGTAGAGTTTTTGGTTTGTTGAGATGCATCCGAATTTCAATTTCCGTACGTTTTATCCAGATTTAGCTTGTTTCAGTGAAAGACGTGTATTTGGTTCTTTCAAATTTCAAAATCTAGATTCTAAAAGTTAAGACATGGGTGTGACAAGTAACACCCTATTTTTATTAGTTAATTGGGTTTTCAACTTTCTTCCTTAACTAGTTTGTTTCTTCAAAACAAAACAAAAGAAACCACACACTGTTTTAGTTCAATTAGAGTGACAGCTCCTCATTAGACGTACTAATCTCCATTGCATTTGCACACCAAAGATAAGATGCACATTAATAGTTCTATCTGGTTCATGTTAAACCCAACAAGACTTTAAATGCTTTCACATAATCATAGCAGGAAAAAATAACTAGTCACTGAGATTTCTATACAACACAGCAAAAATGGAAATCATGTTAAGATGAAAGGCAAGAGAAAGGTAACATCGATGCGTCAATTCATATGTCCACTGGTGAAGCATGATGGTTGCAGATAAACCACTCACCATCGATCTTCTCGAACACATTCGTTACAAATTGTCCTCCCCATCTTCCTCCTTTCGCCTTTACAAATTCCATGCAAGTGACATATCCCATATCTCCTCTAGCATGAGCTTTAATGTCTTCTAGTTTAATTTGCAGCGGAAATTCATAGTTGGCCCATACATAATTCCAGCTCTCAATAACATCGTCGTATCCGGATATTCCTTTCAAGCCAGGATGTACACAGCATACTTCGTCCCTTTTCGCCCACATGGCTTGCATGCCTGCAAGGTCACCATTCCTGAATGCATTATAAAACTTGCTGTTTAATCCCAATACTTCTATTTTGCTATCTTTTTGAAGGCTTTTTAGAGTATCCCTTATTTCTGCAGCTCTGGTATAATTCTCCTCGGCAATTGCTTTCTGCAGCTCCTCCACTAAAGTGTGTTCATCTAATGCAATGTTCTCGCTACTCAATGCGCTCTCTGAGTCCTCACTTTTAACTCCCTGTCGTGTCCCTGATAAAGTCAATCAATCATAATCGTCAAATCATATGAAACTTGGATTGTGTGATTGGTTTCCAGCAAAATCAAGCCAGTAGAAAGAAACAGTCGACAATTTGTATGCTCGTTGGCTAAAGATGAATCGAAACATTATTCAAAAAGTAGTCGCTATATGAATCAAAAGGGTGTTCAAGCAAAAGACACTTACTGAATCTTCTCGTTTGTAACTCGAGGCATTGATTAGGCAAAAGACACTGTTGGTTTCCTCTTTCAAAACTTTTCCCGAAAACTAACCTATTTTGAGTAAAGTTTGGTGACTGACAAGCATGATGTCGCTTCTGAAAGCTATTGATGAACAAACCCGGCAAGAAATTAAACTCTTTGCCAGAAGAAGAAAGCCCCTTAGAAAAAACTCAAAATTAATCATTGCCAACCATTCAAGCGTAATCATTAATAGAGAAAACATAATTTCATATTTATTCCTCAGCCATTCATGAAGTGCATTTTCTTCAGCGGAAATTTTTAAAAAGTCACCATATTTTCAACCACTCAATGAAAATTCTAGTCTCTAAGTAAACAAAACACGAAACTCCAATCCAATCGATTTATAAATCATTCCAAATTTCCATTTCAGGTAGCTGAATCAAATCTATGTTAACTCCTAGAATTCTTAATTCAATAGACTATTGATCAACATACAAATGCTCTTAAACTATGAAACACAGACACCGACACGACACCAACACATCCACATTGTCAATAATTTGAAAAAGTGAATAAATTGAACATAATCACGTATGTCGGTGTTGGACACGGACACGTGTCAGACACCAGATACACCTCTATTCAGAGGTTCTCAAGTGGTATTTTGCATTAACCTTTACAAGAGACTACTAAACTCCACTAAAATATTAATAAGAAAGAAATTAAGTTAACTTTGAAGGTTAAAAACAATGGGAAACTCACATTAAAGGATAAGGCAGTTCCATAAAGTGCCATAGTCCAAATTCCAAATTTACAACAAGGAGCTGTGGAAAAGGACTTGGATCAGCCAAGCACAATCACCTAATTCTGAAAATCACACAAAAAAATTGGGGATAATCCTTCAATTGTGCAATTGCTATGCATAACAAATACTTAGATTTCATATCATAATTATAATAATAAACATAACATGAAGATAACTGAAAAACTCAAATCATATACAGGAACATAAACAAATAAAAGAATGAAGTACATTAGAAGAACCCATTTTGAGATTTTTATACCTAGGAACAAAATTGAGGAATGAAAATGATGATTAAAGTGTAAAATTGAACAAAATTGAATGTAGAAGAGAGAATTTCGAGAAGCCTTGGGAGTGAAGAGGAAAATCGAAAACGGTGTTGAAGGATCAAGGAAAGATCACGCGCCGGTGCTGTGATATTTGGGGTTTGTTGAGTTTTGAAACAGAGTGGGGTTTGCTGATAGAAGGAACAGAATGGAAAGACTTATCTTATATATATACCCCATAGAGTGAGTTTGTTGTTCATACCTATCTTGCAAACATGGAGTGGAAAATGCAATTTACAAATTATTCATCCATTTATTTTAATTAGGGTGAATGGTACTTTCGGTGCCATTTATTCTAGTGACATGTTATAAAATTTTAAGCAACATTCAATATTATTAACTATCATAATAGAGTTAATTACATATAGCTAGGGTTAGCAAACAAGCAATACGAGTCCCGCAAAAACATGAGGCGGAGTAGGTGCATATAGTTGAAGGTATGGATCTAAAATCTAAATTCTTTTAAAGAAAAAGTGAAGGCGGGGCGGGAAAAGCTTGCGGACACGGTACATTTTAAACTTAAGAACGCAAAAGTTTATGTAAATATGTGTGCGTGCAAAAGTCCGTGAAGAAAACGGGACGAACGCATTAGAGGGTAAGGGTCTAAACCGTTGGCCTGCCTTGCACTAAAGTGCGAGTAAAATGGACATGCCAACAGTTCGGTTCTGTTTTTCCACTCCTACATATAACTCCAACAATTGAGAATTTAGTTACTCGTTGTCATGGTAGCTTTACTAATGAAACAGATGAGATGAAACAACATCAAGAATAATCCCTCAAGTTTGCGTGCGTATTCACCTCAAACCACTTGCAATTACTCCATTTGTTGAATTTTCAACAACCCTCTATCTTTCGATATGAAAATAATGTGGAAATCCTTGAATCATTCATTCAGTGCCACTGAATTCTATTTATAATGATCCTGCAAACTATTATTCGTTAATTAAAGAAATATTTGATTAGAAAATTGAGATTCCTTTTATGCTAAGAAAGCTCTTAATCGCCTTGAATTCACTAATCGAGATGTTCTTCAATTAACAAATTTTATATAGCTTTTCATCAAGATCGTCTTTGAGGTTGTACAAGGCGACCTATAGCACAAGGCCTCGCAATTTTTCAAGATTATGTTATGGTAAAAAAAAACCTTCATACATATATTTCGCAGTTAATTTACGATTAAAAATGTCTATTAAGAAAATTTCACAACCTTACTCTAGCTTCATACACAGAGCCTCTCAAAAATAATTTTTGAGATGTCCTATGCAAAAAGTTAGAGTAAACTTTCACTTAGCAAATTTTCTAAAGTTGGCTCCATTGCTCATTGTGCCTTAATCCTTCACGAATACTTCTTTTCCTTTACCTAATACTAAAAAAAATAAAGTTAGTTTCATTTATTAAGGATAATCACTATTATATGCATAAATGAGATGGATTTTATGATTTCTTTGTGTAATAAGTGGAATAAATGCTTAGAAATAAAATTCTCAAACTTAGAATTTTGTTTGACCTAAACAAAAATCTTCAAAAAATTTAATTCAAACATGGTTTAGTAATATCACTGACACACAATCAACTAGTCTAGGCTTATAAAATAGAAGCATGTTTTCAATTTCAATCTTCTTCTTTTTTTACAACTTGCATGATTTGTGTCAAATAGTGATATCAAATACTTCAATCAAAAGAGGCCTATGAAAGAGTTACTAAGTCAAATAGTGATATCAAATACTTCAATCAAAAGTTAATTAAAATCACAATTTTCACCAAATGTAGCATTCATAACAAATCAAATTTTGATTTTAATTTAAGTTATATCACAAGCATGTAATCAATTATGGGTCACAAAGGTATTTATTTTAGGTTATAACATGGTAAGACTTCAAAAATTCATTATTTTTTTTAGATAAGCAAAAAAATTTAGGTTAAGAAAGAATAAAAGTCGTGTATATGATTCAAATCATCAAAGCTATGATTTAGACATTTTCTTAACATTGGATTGTATCTATCCTAAGACTCACATAATGTTTTAGTTGAACCTTGTGAAAAGACTAAAATTGTTGTTTTCTCCTCCGTAAACTTGTATTGAGAAAAAATTGGTTAAGAAGTTTCTCCTCAAATACATTTCAGTTGATCACAATTTGTGTGGTCGGATCTAAGTACGAATATAAACCTTTACCTATAAGATATGACGGAAATAATATCATAAACACGATTTCATCTTGTTCCTCTTTGGATCCAAGAGTTACTATATGTCATAAAATCTCACCATATTAGTGTAGGTTTACATGATATATGTCTGTAAAAGGATTAACATAATTAATTTAAAGTAATCCTATTTTCATCTCTATATGTATTGTGTTTTTTGAAAGTCCTCCCAAGTGGGCTAATCTCCTCGGGCTGATAAAACATGACATCCCATCACCACCATTTTTATTATGGACATTATTGTCATTGTTATTTCCATTTTTGTTTTCATTGTTGTTGTTTTTATTGTTCCTTCAATTGTTGATGACTTCAAGGTTACCTTTTTGATTATTAGCCTTTGTTGTATAGTTGTTTGCTAGCTTTGTTTTTCATAGATTTTAGCGAGTGGTCCTTTAAATTTCAAGATTAAAAGGAATCAAACTTTTGTCTCACATAAACTAGTAAATGCGTTAGTAATAACAAGAAAAATAAGAAAAATAGAAGAATAGAAAAATATACATTATATGAAAAAAAATCACAAATAAATTTAAAATGATAAAAATTATAAACAAGCTTTAAATCTCCATTAACGGGAAACAACGCAATTTTGTTGATTGGGTTTCTTTAAAGTAAATAGAAGTGTAGTGGAATGTAAAGAGTAAAAGCATTATAAACATATGGAATGGTGAGAAATCCAGCTTTATATGTTATAATTATTATTCTAAGAAGAAAAGTGATTTCGTTTAATAGATTTTTTTTAACATAAAACCAAATAAATTAAAATAAGAGAAAATTGGTGATAGAGAGTGTTGTGTTTAGGTTGAAACTACTATTATTACATGCATATCAATTATATGTTATACACATCTTAGTTATCAATTCATATTAACAGATATTTCTCAGCAATGATATTCATGTTTTAAATAACATTGTGATATCAATCATATTATTTATTTGACGATATCTTAGTCTAATAAACAATATGATAACACAAAGCTTTAATGGTTGGAGGCTTTTGTTGGATAGGTTACCGACGAGGGAAAACTTACTTCGTCGAGGCATCATATCAAATCCACATGATATTGTTTGTGTCTTCTATTTTGGTCATTTGGAGTGTGTAAGTCTTTTTTTTATTTCTTGTCCTAAGATTAGGAAAGTATGGAAAAAAGTTCATGAATGGTTGGAAATGTGTGAAGTTTGTGAAATTTCTTTAGCTAATCACTTGTTATCATGGACTAATAATCTCTTAGGTAGGGTCTCTAAAAAGCTTGCTACTAGTTTTTTGGTGGGTTGTTTGTTGGGTTATTTGGTGAGAAAGGAATCAAATTCTCTTTAACAACGTCGTAGCCGGTGTGGAGGCAACAGTGTTGAGAATCAAAAAATTTCTTGGTGATGGATTTTAAACTTATCTAAGGGTAGAATGTCTTGTAATTTTTATGAATGGCATTTGTATCCTTTAGACTTCTTGTAATTGTAGGGTTAATTTAACCTAGTTTGTTGGTTGTAAAGTGGTTGGGGTGCCCCTAATACCTCATTATTTATTATACTTGACTTATCAAATAAAAAAGATTTAATGGTATATGTGAATATCACGTCCATATATCTACCTATAGATTTTAGCTCGTGATATATGGACTACCTAAGAATAAATCTAAAAGTCTATCTTGACATTAGATAGATCTACAAATCATGTTATAAAATGTCGTGTCCATTTAGGTATGAACACATTATATCCTTGGTCTAAACCTAAAAAACCATCTCGACACCTTATAGAATCCCAAACACGATACAAGTATAATATTTATTAAGTAAAAGAATAAATATCAAATATGTTCGATTGACTAATCTGGACATAACACTATGATCACATCAAATGCATATAATTCATAATATTGTAAAAAATCTAAGTTTAATTATAATAAAGCCTTTACCTTTTAACAATATATTAAATGTTCCATCCATTACTCTAAATTTATTTTTTATTTTTTTAAAAGCAAATTAGAATTAATGAATACAAAAGGTATTCACCCAACATACAAAATATAACAGAAGAACAAGATATTACTATCCAACTCCAAGCTAACTTAAAACCCTAAAGGATCCAAAGTGAAAGCTAAGAAATTAGAGTTGGAAGTAGAAATATCACCCAACAAGTTCCATTTCCACAATAACAATTTTATATCCCAGATATTATTATAGCTTCTACTATTCACAATCATGTTGCTTCTAGCTTTTTAGTGTCTCATGTAAATAAAGAAAATGTTAGTTTCTTGTGGCACTTTAAACTTGGTCATGCTAACTTTAACATCCCAATATTTTAAATAAACTATAAATATCTTTTTTAGTATGTCCCTAATTGATTTGATTTATGTGTAACTTACTTATTTTATTTTCATATGTGAATCATGTGTGAATTTATCTAATTAAATTATTAATATGAGGAATTATTACCAATAGTCCCATGCATTAGTCTTTCACCAATGAAT